CTCGGATGCCCTGGGCTCGGATGATTGTCCCACCTCAGCATCTGTGTTAGTTGGAACTACAGGTGCATGCTACTGCAGCTTGCTAAGCTTTTAAAAAAATTTTGTAGAGATGGGGGTTTCACTGTGTCGCCCCAGGGTGGCCTTGTACTCGGGCTTAAGCAGTCCTCCTACTTTGGCCTCCCAAAACTCCAGGATTACAGGTATAAGCCACTGTGCCTGGCCAATGATTAATGTATTTGAGAAGATTTTGGCTCTTCTTGGCTCTTATGAATAAAGCTGCCACAGATGTTTAATTTTTTGTATGGACTTAAGTTTATTTCACTGGGATGCCTAGAAGTGAGATTGCCAAGTCATATGACAAACACGTTTGATTTTTAAGGAAACTCTCAAACTGTCCCAGAGTGGCTGTACCATTTTATATTCCTTACTTTGAATGTGCATATGTCTTCATCTATGAAATAACTCTTTATGTCTGTTGCCCATTTTCAATTGTTTTTTGCTGTTGCATTTTGAGAATTCTTTGTGTATTATAGTTATGAATCCTTTGTCAGATGTGTGGTTTGCAAATATTTTTCTCCCAGACTTTTCATCCTTTCACAGTCTTTCTCCAGAGCAAAAATTTTAAAATTTGTGAAGTCAGATTCATCGAGATCTTTCTTTTATGGATTGCTTTTGGTATCATGTCTAAGAATTCCTCACTGAGTCCTAAGTCCTTAAGATATTCTCCTAATGTGTTCTTGTAAAAGTTTTATAGTTTTATGTTTTACATTAAAATTTCCCACTTCATTTTGAATTACTTTTTATGTAAAATACAAAGTTTAGGTTAAGATTACTTTTTTTTTTTTTTTGCCTTTGTGTATCTGGATATCTAGTTGTTCCAGCACAATTTGTTGAAAAGTCTGTTTTTATTCCATTGAATTGCTTCCATACCTTAAACAAAAATCTGTTTGGCTTACTTGTGTATTTCTGGGTTCTGTTCCCCGCCCCCCTCATCTGTGTGACAGTTCTTCACCCGTTACCACTGTCTCCGTGACTTTATCTCTAGAAATTATAAAATTGTGCATAGAGATTCTTCTCAGTTCTTTTTCAAAATTGATTTAGCCATTCTAGTTCCTTTGCCTTGCCATGTAAAATCTTTGAATAATCTTTTTTGAGACAGAGTTTTGCTATTGTTGCTCAGGCTGGAGTGCAATTGCATGAGCCACCTAGGTTCAGGCAATTTTCCTGCCTCAGCCTCCCTAGTAGCTGGAATTATAGGTGTCTGCCACCACGCCCAGCTAATTTTTGTATTTTTAGTAGAGATGGGGTTTCGCCATGTTGGCCAGGCTGGTCTCCAAACTCCTGACCTCTGGTGATCCACCTGCCTTGGCTTCCCAAAGTGCTGGGATTACAGGCATCATCCACCGTGCCCAGCCATAATCTGGTCTCTATCTGTAAAAAAAAATCTTGCTGGGATTTTGATAGGAACACATTAGCCTATAGGTCAGTTTGTAGAGAATTGACATCTTTACTATCTTGAGTCTATGAACACATTATATCTCTCTAGGAATTTAAGTCTTCTTCAGTTTATCTTACCAGCATTTTGTGTTTATTAGCATAAATATGCTATTGTGTTTCTGTCAATCAGTTGACTCTACTTATGGGTCTTTCAGGTTCTCTATTCTGTTTTATTCAACTAGGTGTCTGTGATTTCTGTAGCTTATATAATAAGCTTATCGTATAAATAAAGCTTATTTAATAAGTCTGTAAATTGAGTAGCGTGATTCCTCCACTGTATTCTTCTTTTACAATAGTGATTTAGCTGTTACACTGCATTCGCATTTCTACATAAATATTAAAATAATCCTACACTGAGTATCCTAATCCACATTTCTTTGGTTATTTAGAACTTCTATGATTTCTTTCATCAGCATTTTATAGTTTTCAGTATACAAAACTTCTGCATGTTTTGTTAGGTTTACGCCTATTTCATTTTGCTTAGAACCATTTGATTTCCATATAGTTATAGGGCTATTCAGATTATCCTTTTAATACTGGGTAAGTCGGTAGTTTTCTGCTTTTTAAGGAATTGGTCAGCTCCCATCAATTTGATTTCACACTCAAGTTGTCAAGTTAGTGCGTGCATGTTCTTAAGTATCTCTTATTCTTTTTAATCTCTGCACGGTTGGTGGTATCATGAAATGAAAAAATGGTGTCCCCCTTTTCAATCCTCATTTTGGCAAGTTGTGTCTTCTTTTTCTTTGTCAGTCTTGCAGGGAGGTTTGTTAATTTTATGACCTTTTCAAATAACCAGCTTTTTATTTCATTGACTTTTCTCTATTTTTAAGCTGTCAATTTCATTGACTTCTACACTTAGAATTTTCTACCTCCATTGACACCAGGAGGAGAGAGCTTCCTCCTTACTGGTGAATGCGGGTACAAGTTTAGGTTCCTATCAGGTCTTTATTGACTACCTCCCTGACCGGGAAGGACATGAATGCCTATTCACTGCTTCTTATGTATTGTCTATTGACACTTTGGGGAATGAGGCCCTGGCTTCTCTGACACCACTGAACAGTGGGTAGTTGGGACACCTAGTTTCAGCTAGGCCTTCTACTGGGCCTTTGCTGGTGAAAAGAGGGGCATTTTTTTTCTGTAATGTTTGGTGGAAGTAGAACCCTTATTTTCTAAAATCTTTCTGCCCCTTTGCTGTTTCTTTGGGCAGAGAGAGCAAGCCTTTGTGGGTTTTCTTTGTTTACCCCTCTTGGTGTTTCTGTGTTACTGGCTTTATGAGCACCCATTTTGGAATATATGAGACAAAAAGAACACCCAGTAAACTAACCACTATGTGTATTCTTGGGTCCTGAATTGGTAGTCTCTACCTTTCACAGTTGTCTTGTTTTATATAGAATGTCTAAAGTCCTTAGCTGTATGTAGCTGAAGGCATAATGAAAATTAGATTTACTTCATCTTTCCCTTTCTGAAATGTATTGTAATATCTTTCCAGATTTCAAATATTAATTCTTTGCCAGTACTGTGTGTTTAGATAGCTCTTCCAACTTGGGGCTTGTCTTCTCACTTTGTTCATGGTAATATTTTCACCAGTTGTAGTTCTGTAACAAAGATGAATATATTAATATTTTCCTTATAGCTCTTGCTATTTTTTCTTGCTTAAAAATTGATTCCAATAAATTTGTACTCCAAGGTCACAAATACATTCTCTCACATTTTCTTGTGAAAGTTTTTTTTTAAGAATATTGCTCTGTCGTCCAGGCTGTAATGCAGTGGTGCAGTCTCTGCTCACTGCAACCTCCACCTCCTGGGTTCAAGCGATTCTCCTGCCTCAGCCTCCTGAGTAGCTGGGATTACAGTTGTGCACCACCACACCCAGCTAATTTTTGTATTTTTCGTAGAGACGGGGTTTTACCATGTTGATCAGATTGGTCTCGAACTCCTGACCTTGTAATCTGCCTGTCTGGGCCCCCCAAAGTGCTGAGATTACAGGCATGAGCCACCACGCCCGGCCTTTGAAAGTTTTATAGTTTTTAATCTATTCAAAATAGTAATTTTTTTGAATCAGATAAAGTAGGGATCTAATTTCATTTCCCACCCCCCAATAGTTGTTCAGCAACATGAAAAGTTCATCCCTTTTCCCACTGATTTCTAGTGAGACATCTGATATATATAAAGTATACATTTATGTAAGCCTTACAAATATCACACCATTTTAATTGTTATAGCTTTATAGTAGGTTTTGTTATTTGGTAGGCATGTCCCCACAGCTTGTCAAAATTCTATTGAAATCTCTGTTGGGATTGTTACTAGAGCTGCATTGCATCTATAGACATGTTTGTGGGAGCATTGTCATCTTTACCATCATGGACATGCTTTCTTCGTGATTTAGATATTTTTTAATGTTTTTAAATATAGCCGAATATTTTTCTGCACGATGACCTTCACAGTCTTTTGAAATTTATTTCTAAGTACTTAATATATTTTCGTTGCTATTGTAAAACTTTTTTTAATTAAATTTTTATTTGTTGTTTCTATATACAAATGAAATTGGCCTTTGGATTACTTTGTATTTGTTCTTATGCATTTCATTAACAAATATATCTGGGAACCTTATTGCAGTCTTCCTTAGTATAAATTATACAGCATCAAGTTTATATTAGAGTTTTAACTCATTTGGTATTTTTTTTTATTGTTTACCAAGCACTATGAAAGACTATTCTTTTTTGTTCAAAGGAATGCATTTGTTAAAAGGAAATGGTATTTCATAATGTCTGCGAAGATTTCAAACAAAAGGAACATGTCTCTTTTCTGCTTCCAGAAATCCTAATTTTGTAAGTCTAGAGAAAACCTTAGCTCCTTGTTTTGTTTCTTTTTTTTTTTTTTGAGGAAGCTCTGTAGCCCAGGCTAGAGTGCATTGGTGTGATCTCTGCTCACTGCAACCTCTGCTTCCCGGGTCCTGGTTCAAGCAATTCTCCTGCCTCAACCTCCCGAGTAGCTGGAATCACAGGTGCGCACCACCATGCCCGGCTAACTTTTGTATTTTTAGTAGAGATGGGGTTTCACCAGCCAGGCTGGTCTTGAACTCCTGATCTTGCGATCTGCCCGCCTCAGCCTCCCAAAGTGCTGGGATTACAGGCATGAGTCACCGCACCCGGCCACCTCCTTGTTCTTTTAAAAATCTCCCATGTGGTCTGTACGTTTCTGTTAGAAAACCACTGCTAGAGAGGTTGCTAAATAGTAAAAGCATTTAGCCCATGGTATGTTGGGGAAGGGAGGCATTTCATTTAAAATTTTGAAGAAGTTATGCATCATTTAATATTTCATGTGTGATGTATAGATAAAATTAGTATATTTACATAAACAGTTGTCTTTTATTAAGTGACAGCAGGTATGAATTTAAAAAGAATGGACATTGAAAAACAACAGTTACAGTTTGAATGAGATATATTGGTTGAGTACTTAGTATATTTGCATTAAAATTTAGGACATAATTTTGTCTTTCCCAGTTGGAGTCATTCGATGCCCAGTTTGCAGCCAAGAATGTGCAGAAAGACACATCATAGATAACTTTTTTGTGAAGGACACTACTGAGGTTCCCAGCAGTACAGTAGAAAAGTCAAATCAGGTAAGTGTATTACATCTTGAACCTTTTGCCAACTTTTTAAAAATTGAGATTGGGTCTTGCTTTGTCACCCAGGCTGGAGTGCAGCTGTGTGACCTCTGCTTCCTGGGTTTAAGTGATTTTCTCATCTTAGCCTCGAGAGTATCTGGGATTACGGGCATACGCCACCACACCCAGCTAATTTTTGTATTTTTACTAGAGATGGGGTTTCACCATGTTGGCCAGGCTGGTCTTGAACTCCTGACCTCGAGTGATCCACCTGCCTTGGCCTCCCAAAGTGCTGGGATTACAGTTGTGAGCCACCACACCTGGCCTCTTTTGTCAACTATTGATGGGGTAACAAAATGCTGGAGGTCTCTAAAGTAAAAGGAATAAAACATTAGATAATCTATAAAATTATGTAATATTTTAAAAGATATATAAAGAATAATGAATAATTCACCTTAAGAAATAAAACAGTGTCAGTGCAGAAGCTCTTGATTGCATTACCCACATTCCAATCTCCTCCAGAGAAACCATTGTTTTATATTTGATATTATTTCATTTCTTTGAACTTTTACTAGGTATTGACAATTAGATTTTTATTTAAAGCTCAGCTCTCACTTTTTTTCTATTTTAATGATAAGCTCTATAATGATACATATGAAAGACACCATGTCTTTGATCAGTAAGGTTTTTACATTTTTAAGAAAGCCTTCTTTTCTACATGGTATTACTTTGAAAGCTTCATTTGTGTTTTGGGGTTTGTTGTTGTTGTTGTTGTTGGAGAGACAGAGTCTCACTCTGTTGCCCAGTCTGAAGTGCAGTAACGTAGTCATAGCTCACTGCAGTCTTCAACTCCTGGGCTCCAGTGATTCTCACACTTTAGCCTCCTGAGTCACTGGAACTACAGGCTCATGCTGCCATGCCCAGCTAACTAATGCCTCATTTGGTAGCATTGTCCAAGGTGCTGGATTTAGAGATCCAGTGGTGTTTTTCTTTTCTTTTCTTTTTTTTGAGATGGAGTTTCGCTCTCGTTACCCAAGCTGGAGTGCAATGGCGCAATCTAGGCTCACCGCAACCTCCGCCTCCTGGGTTCAGGCAATTCTCCTGCCTCAGCCTCCCGAGTAGCTGGGATTACAGGCGCGCACCACCATGCCCAGCTAATTTTTTGTATTTTGAGTAGAGACGGGGTTTCACCATGTTGACCAGGATGGGCTCGATCTCTTGACCTCGTGATCCACCTGCCTCGGCCTCCCAAAGTGCTGGGATTACAGGCGTGAGCCACCGCGCCCATCCATGTGTTTTTCTTTTCTTTCTGACTTCTATAACCCATATATAGAACATTTCTGTTGGCTTCTTATATCTAGATGTCAGATCTATCATGCATAATCTATAGTGCTCCAGTGGGGATTAGCCATGTTGAGATTAATTCTACAGCTTGTGCTAAGTATAGTGTATTAGTCTGCTTTTGGATCGTGATTCATTGACGATTCCTCTAGGCAGTTCCCTTAATTTGGAATGGAAGATCTGGGAAAGAACTAAATTTGGTTAGGAAAAAGTGATTATTAGCTATGTTTATCAGGACTCTTTAGTAATCACATGGTTAATTTCTGTACTTTTTGTTGAATTTTCAGTTTTCTGTTCGTTGGGAGAACTGCATGAATTTAAGGTTCACTTTGAATGAACATAGCCACTACTGACTAAAATACATGTTTTTTGTAGTTTGGAAAATATCCACAATTCTTCCTGATTTGAACCTTATCAAAGGCCAAAACAGCTTGCTGCAGGAGATAAACTTTCTAATTGTTTAATTGTGAAACCACCCTTAAAGAAAGAAACATAATTATTTATGTGGGCTACAGTGTTGAGCTCTTAAGTCCTCTGAAAGTTCTCTTTTGAATACAAATGATTTTGTTTCTGCCTTCCATCACTTTGCTTTACATATGATTGTAGCTATGCTATTCATTAGATTCATAGTAGTACATGTGCATGCTTAATCCAGAAAACTCAAAACTACAGTAGCGTAAGTAATCCTCAAATGTAAAGTAGCATAAATAAATGTCAACCAGAGAGAATATTTATATGACATGAAATGATAACAGGACATGAGAGTTAAAGGGATTCTAATCCAAAGGACAAGTTTAAGAGGCTGCTTTATACCTCCTTATGATCAATTAGTTGTCAGTACATTTATGTTTATTTAGTCTGCTTCTGTCACAGAAACATAGTAGGAAGAAGTTAAACTAGAGATGGAGTCCAATATACATACTATATGTTGATACTGGGCATGCATGGGTTGGGGTATGAAATGTGGTATGAGAATAGGGTGCTGCTGGAGGCATTTGGTGAGGATGGAGACTGGAGAGGTTATATGGAGGATGAATTGGAAGCAGGCAGTACTTAGCAAGAGGTAGTGAGAGCTGAATTAGCATGGTAACAATAAGGAAAGGAAGTTACCACCCACTGAGAACTTGATAATCCTGACTGGGTGTGGAAGCTGAGAGATGTTTTACTGCCTGGATGGTGCCTTTCACGGAGACCATGATAAAGAGGGTGGGAGGTAGGTAGAGGTAATAAATCGGTTTTGGATGTGACTGAGTTTGCATTGCCTATGAGATTGTAAACTAGAGGTGTCATCCATGGCTAGAGTGGAGCTTTGAAGAGAGTTCATAGCTAGAGATTTTGAAAAGTTTTAAAACTTCTATCTTTGTTGTTCAAGCATTACCAAAGAAACAATTGACATAACAAACTTCCAAGACCCATCGCTTAGATCAGTAGTCATCAACTCTTGTTTTGTGCATACCCTGATACTACATCCCCAGCCACTAGTTTACATTGATGTTAATTCCAGCCATTATTATAATTTCATCTCTAACTTTTTTTTTTTTTTGAGATGGGAGTTTTGCTCTTGTTGCCCAGGCTGGAGTGCAATGGCGAGGTCTTGGGCTCACTGCAACCTCTGCGTCCTGGGTTCAAGTGATTGATTCTCTTGCCTCAGCCTCCTAAGTAGCTGGGGTTACAGGCTCCCATTACCACACCTGGCTAGTTTTTGTATTTTTAGTAGAGACAGAGTTTCACCATGTTTCCCAAACTGGTCACCAACTCCTGACTTCAGGTGATCTACCCACCTTAGCCTCCCAAAGTGCTGGGATTAGAGGATGAGCCACCGTGCCCAGCCTCATCTGCAAATATTTTGGTATGTACTTCAATAAAATATTTTTTCTGTAAACATAACCACCATATCAGTTTCCTATATAAAAAATAAAAGAACCAGCCTGGGCAACATGGTGAAACCGTGTCTGAATGAATGAATGGATGGATAAACCAGAAAGAAAAGCAAGCATATAGGCTGGTGGTGTGCACCTGTAGTCCCAGCTAGTTAGGAGGCGAGGTTGGAGGATCACCTGTGCTCAAGGAGATGGAGGCTGTAGGGAGCCGTAATCATGCCACTGCACTCCAGCCTGGGTGACAGAGTGAGAGCCTATCTCCAAAAAAAAAAAAAAAATTTAATGCTTAGTGATCTTTTAATATTACCAAATATCTAAGCAGTAATCAAATGGTTCTAATTATTATAGGGTTTTTTTAAAACAATGGTTTGTTTCTATAAGGATCTAACAATGGTTTGTTTCTATAAGGATCTAACACAGTACATTTGGTTGATTTGTCTCAAACCTATCTTTTAATTAATCTCAAGTTACCCCTTTGCTTCTCTTGCTTTTCTTTTCTTCCTTTTTAACATTTTTGCTGCATAAACTGGGTTGCATGTTCAATAGAGTTAGCTTTATTCTGAATTTTGCTGATAATTTCCATAAAGTCATATAACATGCTGATTCTATAGTTTGTGAAATTTTGAATAAAAATACAGTGGCTTGTTTAGGTTCTGGTTCCGTTAGAGGAAAAGGGTAAGAATACTTTGATTGGTATGTCCACATCAGGAGGCATATGGTGTCTGGGTTTGTCTTTCTTTTTTTCTGATGTTAATGGCCATTGATGACCACTGCTGAGATCCCATATGTTTCATTAGGGGTTTGAAAAATAGTGACATTTTAATTTTATTATTCCTCTTTATTTCTTAACTGGAATAGAAAGCAAAAGCTTCCGACATCAATTTTTTGATTACTCTGAACTATAGTTCATCCAGGAAAGGTAAGTTCAATTTTGATTCCTTCTCTCTAGTTGCCAATTTTTAGAGCAGTGAGTTAATTTCTTAGCATTCTTCAGAAGGTGACTAATTGGGGGTGGTGAGGGGAGAGAGAGAGAGATTTTGTGTGTCTGTGTGGGTCCCCCTCTGTTTGAGTCTGCAGTAGTCATTACTATCTCCCTTGCTTTTTTTTTTTTTTGACATTTTCTATTCTAGACCTTGAAGCAGCCATTTCTTCTAGGTGCTTTGATTCCTTTTTGTGGGAAATGATGTTTGGAGACCACAGTATGGTATGATGGGTGCTTATCATCACTGAGTTGGTCACCTACATAGGCCTTCAGGGCCTAACAGACTTTATTTCTAAAAGAAAATATAAGTATATATTGATATTTTAAAATCAAATTTAGAATCATAGAGTTTTGCTTTTTTGATTTTATATTTGTATCTCTTTTATACTAGAAATATTGGTTCTTTATTTTTTTTTTTTTCCCCACTTTGTCACGCAGGCTGGAGTGTAGTGGCTTGATCGCGGCTCACTGTAACCTCAGCCTCCCTAGTAGTTGGAATTACAGGTGGCCACCTCCATGCCTGGCTAATTTTTGTATTTTTAGTACTGGCAGGTTTTTACCATGTTAGCCAGGCTGGTTTCGAACTCCTAACCGCAAATTATCCGCCCTCCTCAGCCTCCCAAAGTGGTGGGATTACAGGTGTGAGCTACTGCGAAATGTTGGTTATTAATTGCAGTCATGTAATTTATTTTCTCTAGGAAAAAAGTTTATGTTTATGTATATGTGTAACATGGCCGGGCATGGTGGCTCATGCCTGTTATCCCAGCACTTTGGGAGGCCGAGGTGGGCGGGTCACTTGAGATGAGGAGTTCCTAACCAGCCTGGCCAACATGGTGAAACCCTGTCTCTATTAAAAATGCAAAAATTAGCCAGGCATGGTGGTGCACACTTGTGGTCTCATCCGCTCCGGGGCTGAGGGAGGAGAATAACGTGAACCTAGGAGGTGGAGGTTGCAGTGAGCCGAGATTGTGCCACCACACTCCAGCCTGGGCAACAGAGTGAGATTCCATCTCAAAAAAAAAGCATACACACACACACGTACGTTTGTGTGTGTATATATGTATATATACACACATACCTGTGTATATATACATATGTATATGCATATACATATATATGTATGTGATATATAGTACATGCATAATATTTATTACATGTATAATATATAATCTGGGTCAATCAAGAATCTTTTTCTTTTTTAAGATTATAAAAACTTCCTCTTTAATCAAGGTTTATAGCATGAACAGATTTCTTGAATAAAATGGAAAGTTTCCAGTACACTGAAACACAAATCCACAAGTCACCATACATACAACACCTGGCAGAAAAAAACAAAAACAAGTTTATACAATCCCTATAACAGCCATGTTCTTAATCTCAGATGCTTCCTCCATCTGCCAAGTGTGTTTTGGATACACAGCACACTGTGGCTTCTGGGGGTCACACTCAGCTGAGGCTGTGGGTCCACAGAGCACTCATCAGACTGGGCTATGGTGGCGGTGGCTCTACTCAAGAAGCAAAGCAGTTACCAGCACATTCAAACAGTGTATTGAACATCTTTTAAATCTCAAAGTGAGAAACAAGAAGGCAACACAATAATGTCATCAGAAAGATGTTAGGAAGTAAGGACGGCTGTGTAAAGCTTGAGGCTGAAAAGTGGCTTGCTAGCTTCATTTCTTCGACTTCTTGGGTAGTGGGCGCCGGAACAGTAAGATGTGAGGTTCTGATTCATGGATCATATAATGGACCCAACTCTGACTCTGTTGAACGCCAAGATTCCTCCATTCAGATTCAGACATCAAATGGGTTTTAGGGACCAGCTTGGCTACGTCGTTGGACAGCATGACATGCTGATACTCAAACTCCTCGTCATCATATTTGTCCGAATAGTAAATTTGTTTGTTCAGCATGATCGCTTCGTCTGCTAGCCTTCAGCCCCCAAGAATCATTTTAATTCTTTATAATTATAAGGCTGGGCACAGTGGCTTATGCCTGTAATCCCAACACTTTGGGAGGCTGAAGCGGACAGATCACAAGGTCAGGAGTTCAAGACCAGCCTGGCCGATACGGTGAAACCCCTTCTCTACTAAAAATACAAAATTACCTGGTCGTAATGGCACATGCCTGTAATCCCGGCTACTCAGGAGGCTGAGGAAGGAGAATTGCTTGAATGTGGCAGGTGGAAGTTGCAATGAGCTAAGATTGTGCCACTGCACTCCAGTCTGGACAACAGAGGGAGACTCCGTCTCAATAAAATAAAATACAATAAGGAATTGTAAACTAGATACAAGGTTTTCTGAAAAGACACAAATAAATTCTTAAAGTATCACAGAGGTAGCAACTTTGAGAAGCATCTGAAGGAACAAATGCAAAAGGTTGGAATTATTAAAAGGTAAAAAGCTCAGGAAGGGCCTCATGGAACTTAAAGCTCAGGAAGTGTAACTTGGCTGGTGATGGAGTCTTGGTGTTTGGCTTGGGACTCAGACTTCTGACAGGCAGAAGTATTGGTGCTGGCATTTCTGAAGCGGATTATAGTAAAGCTGGTTCTACAAATACTGGAAAAACTGCAAACTAGCTAGCTCATTGTAGGAAGGAACTCCTGCAGCTGGAATGAAGCAGCATTAATTGGAGTGATGCTCACAGAAATTGCATGCAGACAGGAAGAAAAGAGGAAGCTAACTATGAGAATCAACTGCCTTCTTCTGGCATTGCATTCTCCCTGCAGCACTATCCATTGTTAGATAAAAATGTGAAACCAGCTTGTACAGCATAAATGTGGCTTGCGGAATAAGAGTTTATAGTAGAGTGGTGTTGGAGCTGAAAAAAGAAGTTGTAGAATGTTTGTATCAAAACACATAGCAAAAAAGACAGCAGTTATTAAATTAAAAAAATTTTTTTTTGGAGAGACGGAGTCACCCCAGCTGGAGTGCAGTGGCACAAACTCGGCTTACTGCAACCTACACCTCCAGGATTCAAGCAATTCTCCTGCCTTAGCCTCTTGAGTAGCTGGGACTACAGGCACATGCCGCCACTCCCAGCTAATTTTTTGTATTTTAGTAGAGATGGGGTTTCACTGTGTTGCCTGGGCTGGTCTTGAACTCCTGAGTTCAGGCAATTCACCTGCCTTGGCTTCCCAAAGTGCTAGGATTACAGGGGTGAGCGACTGCGCCCAGCCAGTCAAATCATGTTTTAAAGTTTACCTGAAATAAATAAATCTTCTCTGTGTGGTTAAGCCACCCACTTGATTAGGCAGGTTCATTTATTAAATTGTACCTTTGTCATTTAGGAATTTAAATTTTTAAAATTTTATATAACTACATATAAAACATTCATGTTGTTTGAAAATCGATAAATTTCATACCTGTTTTGTCTATCCATCTGCCTTATTTCTTTCCAACCTTATGTAACTATTTAAATGTCCTTTATGGTTTATCCTTCCTTTTTAAATATTATGTTAATATACAATTTAAAAAACAAGTCATCCCACTCCATCCCATCCGTATTAGTCTGTTTTTGCATTGCTATAAAGAAATACCCGAGACTGGGTAATTTATAAAGAAAGCACGATGCTGGCATCTGCTCAGCTTCTGGGGAGGCCTCAGGGTTGGAGGTGCCACACACTTTTTTCTTTTTATTTTCTTTCTTTCTTTCTTTTTGTTTTTTAGATGGAGTTTTGCTCTTAATTGTCAAAGCTGGAGTGCAATGGTGCGATCTCAGCTCACTGCAACCTCCGCCTCCTGAGTTCAAGCAATTCTACCTCAGCTTCCTGAGTAGCTAGGATTACAAGCATGCCCCACCACATCCAGCTAATTTTCTTTGTATTTTTAGTAGAAACAGGGTTTTACCATGTTAGCCAGGCTGGTCTCGAACTCCTGACCTCAGGTGATCCACCCACCTCGGCCTCCCAAAGTGCCGGGATTACAGGCATGGGCCACTGCATCCAGCTGTGCCACATAGTTTTAAATGAACACATCTCATGTGAACTCATTATCATGAGAACAGCACCAAGGGGGAAATCCACCCGCATGATTCAGTCACCTCCCATCAGGTCCTGCCTCCAACATTGGGGATTGCAGTTCTACATGAAATTTGGTCAGGGACGGCAGATCCAAACCATATTGTTCCACCCTGGCTCCTCCCAAATCTAATGTCCTTCTCACATTTCAAAACTCAATCATGCCTTCCCAAAAGTTCCTCAGAGTCTTAACCATTTTAGCATTTTAACTCAAAAGGCCTAAGTCTCATATTTGAGATGAGAAGGACAAGGCAAGTCCCTTCTGCCTATGACCCTGTAAAGTCAAAAACATGTTAGTTACTTCCAAAATACAATGTGGGTACAGGCATTGGGTAAATACTCCCATTCCAAAATGGAGAAATTGGCCAAAAGAAAGGGGCTGTGGGCCTTGCGCAAGTCCAAAACCCAGCACTAGTCATTAAATCTTAAGGCTCCAAAATAATCTCCTTTGACTTTACATCTCTCATCCAGGACCCACTGGTACAAGGGGTGGGCTCCCAGAGCCTTGGGCAGCTATACCTACTTCTGTGGCTTTGCAGGTTCAGCCCCTGCAGCTGCTCTCATGAGCTTCTCTCATGGGTGCCTGTGACTTTTACAGGCTGAAGGTGCAAGCTGCTGGTGGATCTACCGTTCTGGGATCTGGAGGACAGTGGCACTCTCCCATATGGGAGAGCCCCAGTGGGGACTCTGTGTGGGTACTCCAGCCCCACATTTCTCCTCTGCGTTGCCCAAGTAGTTGTTCTCCATGAAGTCTCTGCCCCTGCAGCAGGCTTCTGCTTGGACATCCATGCAGGCTTTCCCATAAATCCTCTGAAATCTAGGCAGAGGCTCCCAAGTGTCATCTCTTGCGTTCTGTGTACCTGCAGTCTTTAACAGCATGTGGAAGCTGCCAAGGCTTATGCCTTGCATCCTGTGAAGCAGCAGTGTGAGCTGTATCTGGGCCTCTTTGAGCCATGGCTGGAGCTAGAGAGGTTGGGACACAGGGGGCAGTGTCCTGAGCCTGGGCTGGCCTGGTCCATAAAACCATTCAATCCTCTTAGGCCTCCGGTCCTGTAACAGGAGTGGGCTCAGAATGTCTCTGAAATGCCTTCAAGTCCTTCCCCTATCCCCAATTTCTGCAGCCTGCTTGAATTCCTCCCCTAAAAATGGGCTTTTCTTTTCTACCACATGACCAGGCTGCAAATTTTCCAAACTTTTATGCTATGTTTCCCTTTGAAATATTTAAGTTCCAACTTTAGGTCATTTCTTTGCTCATGCATGTGAGCATAGGTTGTTAGAAGCACCTAGATGACATCTTGAACACTTTGCTGCTTAGAAATTTAATCCACCAGATATTCTGAATCATCTGTCAAATTCAGAGTTCCACAGATCCCTAGAGCAGGGGCACAGTCCAGCCAAGCTCTTTGCCAAGGTAAAACAGAAGTGACCTTTGCTCTGTTTCCCAATAAGTTTATTTCCATCTGAGACTCCTCAGCCTGGACCTCATTGTCCAAATTACTTTAAGTATTTTGGTCACAACAATTTACCAAATCTCTAGGAAGTTCCAAAATTTCCCTCACCTTCCTGCCTTCTTCTGTGCCCTCCAAACCATTTGAAATTCTGCCCACTACCCAGTTCCAGAGCTGCTTCCACATTTTCAGGTATCTGGTATTTTTTTTGGAGATGGAGTCTTGCTCTGTCACCCAGACTGGAGTGCAATGGCTCACTGCAGCTTCCACCTCTCAGCTTCAAGCTATTCTCCTGCCTCAGCCTCCACAGTAACTGGGATTATAGGCACGCACCACTATGCCCAGCTAATTTTTGTATTTTTAGTAGAGACGGGGTTTCACCATGTTGGTCAGGCTGGTCTTGAACTCCTGACCTCATGATCCGCCTGCCTTTGCCTCCCAAAGTGCTGGGATTACAGGGATGAGCCACCGTGGCCGGCCTTTTAGGTATCTTTATAGCTGTACCCCACTCCTTGGTACCAATTTTCTGTATTAGTCCAGTCTCATATTGCTATAAAGAAATATCTGAGACTGGGTAACTTATAAAGAAAAGAGGTGTAGGCCAGGTGCAGTGGCTCACACTTGTAATCCCAGCACTTTAGGAAACCGAGGTGGTTGGATCACGATGTGTTAGGAGTTTGAGATCAGCCTGACCAACATGGAGAAACTTGATCTCTACTAAAAATAAAAAAGTTAGTCAGGCATTATGGCGGGCGCCTGTAATCCCACCTACTCAGGAGGCTGAGGCAGGAAAATCACTTAAACCCAGGAGGCAGAGGTTGTGGTGAGCCGTGATCGTTCACTGCACTCCAGTTTGGGCAACAGAGCGAGATTCCATCTCAAAAAAAAAAAAAAAGGTTTAATTGGCTAATGGTTCTGCAGGCTGTACAGGAAACATGATGCTGGCATCTGCTCAGCTTACAATCATGGCAGTGGGTGAAGAAGAAGCAGGCTCATCCACATGGCAGGAGCAGGAGCAAAAGAGAGCTGGGAGGCACTACACATTTAACCAGGTCTCAGGAGAATTCACTATCATGAGAAGAGCACCAAGGAGGAAATCCACCCATCTCCCAGCAGGCTCCAGCTCCAACATTAGGGATTACAATTCAGCAATTTGGGCAGGCACACAGATCCAAACCATATCACCATCTTTCTTGAATAAGCAGTAGCATATCACACACACACACACACACACACACTCACACATTTCCTGTTTTGTTTCACTTTGTACTAGCAATCTGTCCTAAATGGTGTAAATAGAAAGTACTTATTTCTTCTTATAGCTTACGATGGAGATTAAATTTTGGATTACATCCTTTTAGAGATACTATGTGAGGCTAAGGAAGTAGATGAGATTTGTTCTTATAATCTAACATAAACTACAGAATCAGAGGATGAAGGGTGGGATCCACAGGGAAAATCAGGGAGATAGGAGGATTGGCAGGTAGTAAGGAATTCACGTGGCTTCTAGGAAGCAGGATTCAGTGGTATAGAGTGATGTTAGAATGATTCAAGATGATAAGTGCAGAGAAAAGGTAGATTTTGGTTTATGAACATAATCAGGTATTTGGCTTGTGTCAACCACTGAAGTGGAAGTTTACTGTCAAGCCTCTTCTCATCTCCATATACCACTTCCAGCAACCCTCACCAAAGCCACTGAAAAATCCTCCTAGCTTGTCATTATACAAACACTTGCTCCTTTTCTAATTTGTTCTCCACATTGCAGCCATTGTGACATAAAAATGGAAATCTGGCTGTGTCATTTTCTTAAAAGCTTTTAATAGATGTCTTTGGACAAAGACCAAAATTGCCTTGTGACTGCTTGATCTGGCCCCTGACCATCTTGTCCTAGCTTTTCTTGCCCGTCTTCTTGATTGCACCACTTCAGTCACATTGCCTTCTTTCAGTTCTTTGAACCTTCTTGCTCTTCTTGCCTGGGACTTTTGTACATGCTGTTGTCTCTTCCTAGAAGTAAAAGCCTTCACTGGGTAATCCCTCCTCATGCTTTCCCCAGCCTTCCAACCCCACTAAAATGAGATTCATTCTTCATTATATGCTCATATTGCTTTCCATATATTTCCTTTATAGTGCTTCTCAGTTTGTAGTTATATATTGATCAGTTTGCAGTTATATGTTGATATGCTTATTCTAATAATGTACATCTGCCTCACATTTAATCTTCACAACTACTCAGTAATGTCTGTACTATTAAAGTAGTAATAATAATCATCACAGCTACTCAGTAATATCCTCATATTAAAGATGAGTACTCTATGTAACCTGCCCAAAACCACTGAGCTCTAGTAAGTGAGGGAACTGTGATTTGAACCTGCACTATCTACAAGACTGTAGTTATCATAAAGGCCTGGACCATGTTTGCTTTTCCTGACTGTTTATTCTCACACTTAGCATAATGTTTGGGAAATAAACACCTAGCTAAAATATTTGGGATACTGAATTAAGGAGAAAATGTGCTTATATTCTTATCTCTTCATGGTATGTTAATTTCATATGTGTGTAATGTAACACACACTGTCAGTTCAAAATTTCCAAACCCTGTTAGGAAATAACTGATTTAGCCCAGAATAGTTGCTTTTCATTTTGTCAAAAATTCACGTGCCATGGTTCTTTTCTTGTCAGGTGTGCACAAGCTGTGAGGACAACGCAGAAGCTAATGGCTTTTGTGTAGAGTGTGTTGAATGGCTCTGCAAGACATGTATCAGAGCTCATCAGAGGGTAAAGTTCACAAAAGACCACACTGTCAGACAGAAAGAGGAAGTATCTCCAGGTAATAAATGAGTTCTTTTTATTTTTTTTCTTCTGTCTTTCCCCTTGTCTTTTCTTCCTTCCTGTATTGACTTGTTTTGACACATTTGTTTTGTTAAGTATTAAATGTACTCTTGATTAAGAGAGGCTTATATTATAATTGAAATTTAAGTGCTTACAAATGTTGGCAAGTGTGAATAGATGTAGAACCCTGTTTTACATTCATACTGCCTGTCTTTCTGCTTCTATAAATGTCTTCATTTGGTGTGAATATAGAACAAATGGAGAAAAAATTTGCTTTTTATTTTTCTTCTCTCTAAGGTAACAACAAGGAGTGGGCTCAAATATTTTACAACTCTTTTTGCTTTTGACATTCTTGTAATAAACCTGCTTTTTGAAATTTGTCTGATATATGGATAGCCAGAGAGGCTTTTTTATGTAATTATTATTTTTGGTTTTATTGTTTTGTTTTTAATGCAGTTCAATAATACATTTTTTTAGTTTGGTAAAATACGTGCAACATAAAATTTGTCATTTTAACTTTTTAAGTGTATAATTCAGTGGCATTTATTACATTTACACATTGTGCAACCATCATTACTATTTTCAGAACTTTTTCATCACCCCAGTCAGCGTCTTTTTTTGTACCCTTTAATAACTCCAATTTTCTTCCCCTAGCTCCTGGTAAATTCTACCCTATTTTCTTTTTTTTAAATGGAGTCTTACTCTGTCACCTAGGCTGGCTGTAGTGTAGTGGCACAATCTCAGCTCACTACAACCTCTGCACATGGGTTTATGCAATTCTCCTGCCTGTAGCTGGGATTACAGGCATGCACCACCACTTCTGTCTAAGTTTTGTATTTTTAGTAGACACGGTGTTTTACCATGTTGGCCAGACTGATCTCGAACTCCTGACTTCAAGTGATCTGCCAGCCTTGGCCTTCTAAAATGCTGGGATTACAAGCATATGGTCACTGCGCTCAGCCTTTATTTTCTGTCTCTATAAATGTGCTTGTTCTAGATATTTCACCCAAGTGGAATCATACAGTATGATGTCCTTTGATACCTAACTTATTTTACTTAGCATAATATTTTAAGAATTTACTCATGTAATAGCCTGTATCAAAATGTAGCAAAACTTCTTTTTTTCTTTGCTTGTTTGAGAGTAGTGAAAGATTTGGTGTAATCCCAGCACTTTGGGAAGCTAAAGTGGGATGATTGCTTCAGCCCAAGAGTTCTAGACCAGCCTTGGCAACATGATGAAACGTTATCTACAAAAAAATCAGAAAATTCACTGGGCATGGTAGTACATGCTTGTAATCGCAACAACCTGGGAGGTGAGATGGTAGAAGGATTGCTTGAGCCAGGGAGCTTGAGGCTGCAGGGAGCTGTGATCATTGTCATTGCACTCCACCTGGGTGACAGTGTGAGACCCTGTCTCAAAAAAAAAAAGAAAAGAAAAGTAAAAAGATTGAACCATCTTTGCATTGCTGGAGTTAATTCTATTTCATCTTGATGTGTTGTGCTTTGAATATTCTTACAATATATATATTGCCAGTTTTCTCTCTCTGGTTATTTTTATTTTTGTTCTACATTGTACATGTTTACATATTTCTGTCTTCAGAAGTAGCTCTTGAATTTGTCTGTTTTATATTTTTTAGTTCATTAATTTTATCTGTAATTCCTCTCAGGTTACCTTAGGTTTGAGGTTTTTTTTTTTTTTTTTTTTTTTTACTGAGACAGACTCTCACTTCAAGACTGAGGCCAGAGTGCAGTGGTGCAGTCTCGGCTCACTGCAACGTCGACTTTCCGTATTCAAGCAATTCTCCTGCTTTGGCCTCCCGAGTGTCTGGGATTACATGCCTGTGCCACCATGCCTGGCTAATTTTTGTATTTTTAGTAGAGACGGGGTTTCACCATGTTGGCCAGGTTGGTCTCGAACTCCTAACCTCAAGTGATCCACCCGCCTCAGGCTCCCAAAGTGCTGAGCCACCACGCCTGGTATAGGCCAGCATACTGCTGGCCAAACAAAACCTACTGGCAGTCTGCATATAGATCAGTTGTGTCAGTTTTGGCCCTGTTGACATTTTGAGCTAGATTCTTTTTTGTTGGGGATTGATCTGTGCATTATAAAAATTCTTTTTTGTTGGGGATTGATCTGTGCATTATAAAAAGAAATGCAAATGACTGATAACTGAACGTTGATTCATCTCAGTGATTAAAGAAATGCATTCTAAGATAGTGAAGTACATACTTTACTATCTTGCATTTATTAAATTGTCAAAGATGAAAATTTAGAGAGTTCCCCCCTATTAATATGGTTAATAGCCACTCAATACTGGTCGGAGTACAGATTGGCACAATTATTTATTATTTTTCTATTTGAATTACCCTTTGACGTAACAATTCTACTACTAAGAATTTATCTTATGGAAACATTTAAATGATTTATAATTTTCATGTTTATTTCAGCACTATTTGCAATATTGAAAAATGAATAACTTATAAATATCCTTTGTAAGTGGTATACCGGTATAACTGTTTTATGAAATACTATATAGTTAATAAGAATGAGGTGGATATATTTTACTAATACAGAAAGGTATCTAAGGTAGAGTTAAGTGAGAAAAAAATCTCGACAATATATGTACTACCATTTATTGTTTTATAAAATGTAGCACTATACTATATGTACTTCCATATTTAGAAAAACTAGAGTAATACATACCATGTTATTAAGAGTAATTATCTCTGGAGGTAGGATTATTTCTGTAATGTTTGTATTTTGCCTTTAATTATTAGTAAGATAACTGAGGTTTACTATTTAATTATATTTATTCATATTCTGATTTTTCCACTTAACATTATGATGTAAACATTTTCCAGTTTTATCCCCACACTAGAAAACTAGAGCGTAATAATGAAAACATTATTTCTGTATTGATGGGTATCCTCTGTTAGGATTTTTACAAGAGTGGGTTAATAATTTATTTGACTACTACTTTTAGACATTTGTAATATATTTTCTTTCTTCCTCCCTCTCTTTCCATCTCTTTCTCTGCCTCTCTGTCTCTATCTGTGAGGTCATGCAGTGTTCCTAGACTGGACTCAAAAACCGCTTGGGCTCAAGCAAGCGATTCTCTCAGTCCAGCTTCCTGACTAGCTGAGTCTACAGGCGTAGGCCACTGTGCCCGGCTTGATTTTCCTAATTGCGTTTTCAAAAATTCTCCTCTCATATTTGGAATAGAAGACGTCCTGGTGGTTCATATTCACCAGGGCTGTCTTCTTCAGACTTTTTAATGCAGTAAAACATATTTTTAACTACACGTAGTTCTTTCGTTTACTTCTGAATTAATTTTAATTTCTACTTGAAAAATGAAAAGGTTAATTTTTCTGAAATGCTGACACGATATGTGATATCTTAATATCTAATTCTTAGTGAAAGTTACGGCAATAGTATAGGTGAAGCTGTAGTGTTTATATCAATAGATGTGAATTCAAATGGGCAATCTGATAATTATTTACTATTCAATTATGTTAATTTTCTTCTCTTTTTCTCCCATTGTTTCTGCAGAGGCAGTTGGTGTCACTAGCCAGCGACCAGTGTTTTGTCCTTTTCATAAAAAGGAGCAGTTGAAGCTGTACTGTGAGACATGTGACAAACTGACATGTCGGGACTGTCAGTTATTAGAACATAAAGAGCATAGGTACCAGCATCTTTGGTTATATAGATTTGTGTATAGATGCATATAGAGCTTTAGAGGACTAAAGGACTGCTGCCACCCTGGTCAAATGGCAGTCTGCAAATAGAGGTTTGTTTGGCCAGCAATATGCTGGCCCATACCAGGGTTTGTCAATTTTGACACTACTGACATTTTGGGCTAGATAGTTATTGTTGGGGACTGATCTGTGTATTATATGGTGGTTAGCATGCTTGACCTCTACCAACTAGATGCCAGTAGTAACCCTCTAACCCTCCCTAGTTGTGACAACTAAAATATAGCTCCAGACATTGGCAACGGCCTAAGGAGAAAAATCATCCTGAGTTGAGGACACTGGCTAACACGCTGTTTTAAAATATATAGAACTAGTTGCCAGCATTGCAAAATGAGGAGATTTTTACATTTTTTAAAATATCTAGATCTCTGGATTTTCTAGCCCTGAGTCTGTATACTTTCATGTCAACATTTGAGACATGCCTTTTCCAGTTCATTATAGTTCCTAGCAAAGCTTACTTTTATTTATTTTTTTTAATTAATTTTTTTTTCTTTTTAGAGATGGGGTTTCACCATGTTGCCCAGGCTGGTCTTGAACTCCTGACGTCAGGTGATCCACCCTCCTCAGCCTCCCAAAGTGCTGGGATTACAAGCATGAGCCATTGTGCCCAGAAAATGTTCTGATCTTTGTTTTATTTTATATTTTATTTTATTTTATTTTTTGAGACACAGTCTCGCTCTGTCACCCAGGCTGGAGTGCAGTGGCACGATCTCAGCTCACTGCAACCTCTGCCTCCAAGGATCAAGTGATTCTCCTGTCTCAGTCTCCCAAGTAGCTGGGATTACAGTCACCCACCACACCATGCCTGGCTAAATTTTTGTATTTTAGTAGGGACGGGGTTTTACCATGTTATCCAGCCTGGTCTTAAACTCGTGATGTCAAGTGATCCTCCCGCGTTGGCCTCCTAAGGTGCTGGGATTACAGGCGTGAGCCACTGTGCCCAGCATAAAGCTTACTTTTAAATCTGATCACAATAGACATTCAGGTCAGCAACAGGTAATTTAGATGGTAAGATTCAGATTGATACAAATATAATTGCTTATGATGGTCTAGGCTCCTGATAATGGCAGACTAGATAATTTGGACCAACAGTTAGAATGACTAGAAAACTTGGACAGAATACAGAAATTGTCTATATGAAATGCTAGAACTAATAAAATAGTAAAGCAGTATTGGACAGTATTGGGTTGGAGTGGGGACAAAGAATGATAGGAGCTTTTTTCTCCCCTTGAGGTATTTCTAGAGATTGAGGAGAACTTTTATTAGCCTCACAGGGCTGAGAAGTCCTAGCTTAGACTATAAGGATCATGCATGGTGAATGCTGCTGCTTGTCTTGAGTTGGGACCCTAAAAGTCTACACTATTACAGTAAAGGTAATTAGCTAGTAAGTAGTTCCTCACAGGGACTAAAGCTCCGCACCTAAAATTGGATTAAAGTGAAATCATATCTGGTTTCTCAAGTTTCCTGTTAGAATCAAATGTAAATCCCTACCAGAAAGACAAAGAAAACATCCTAGGTCTCTAACTTATTCGGTAATGAAGTTTGCAAAAGCGATATTCACAGAATTAGAATAACCAGGTTTGTTAGGAGATTAGACAATGTGAACATAGTGAGACCCATCTCTACAGAAAATTAAATTAGTCAGGCACAGTGATGTGTGCTTGTATTCCTACCTACTTGGGAGACTGAGGCGGGAGGATTGCTTGAGCCCAGGAGTTCAAGGCTGCAGTGATAGCACCACTGCATTCTAGTCCAGGTGACAGAATGAGATCCTGTGTCTTAAAGAAGAAAGAAAAACAAAAAACCCTGAAAATTACAGTAACTAAAATTAACTCAGTAGAAGGGTTTAAGAACAGATTTGGCTTAGCATGAAATGAGAATTAATGAGCTAGAAGAAAACTAAGAAAATATCCATAAAGAAGCATGATAAACAAGGGAGGATGAAAAGTAGAAGAGACATGGATGTAATTACAGTCCAAGAAGAATGGAAAGTACAGAAAAGGGGAAGGAAGCAATAGTTGAAGACAGAATATAATAGCTGAGAACTTTCAGAAGCTGATGAAAGACATTAAGCCCATATTTAAGAAGTTGCACAATCCCCTACCAGGATAATTAAGAAAATAATATTTTTGAAGTACAAAAATAAAGTAACTTTCAAATCTAAAATTCTGTACCCAGTAAGCATATGTATATTTTTTGAGATGTAGTCTCATTCGTTGCCCAGGCTGGAGTGCAATGGTGTGATCTCGGCTTGCTGCAGCCTCCGCCTCTCGGATTCAAATGATTCTCCTGCTTCAGCCTCCTGAGTAGCTGGGATTACATGCGTGCGCCACCATGCTTGGCTAATTTTTATATTTTTAGTAAAGACGGGATTTCACCATGTTGGCCAGGCTGGTCTCAAATTCCTGAACTCAGGTGATCCGCCCACCTTGGCCTCCCAAAGTGCTGGGATTACAGGCATGAGCTACCACTCCTGGCCCGCATATTCTTTATTTTTTTTGAGACCGAGTATCACTGTTGTTACCCAGACTGGAGTGCAATGGCACGATCTTGGCTCACCGCAACCTCCTCCTTCTGGGTTCAAGCAATTCTCCTGCCTCAGCCTCCCAAGTAGCTGGGACTACAGGCGCACACCACCATGCCCAGCTAGTTTTCGTATTTTTAGTAGAGATGGGGTTTCACCTTGTTGACCAGGATGGTCTTGATCTCTTGACCTTGTGATCCACCCGCCTCAGCCTCCCAAAGTGCTGGGATTATAGGCGTGAGCCACCGCACCCAGCCCCGCATATTCTTTAAATATGAAGGTAGATAAAAACGCTTCAGACAAAATAAACTGGGAAAGCATATCCCTGGTAAAGTCTCACTTAAAGTACCTTTTAGCAGGAGAAAAACAGATAAAGGATTACAGAGCAATTAAAATAATAGGTATGAGTAAATCTAAATGAATGTTGACTTAGGAAACAACAATATCTTGTTGGTGTGCTGTGTGTAAATGTATACCACATAGCAGCAAATATGCTAAAAGGTTATGGAATTTATGTTCTAAGGTCCATGCATGGGAGAGCATGAAAAGTATAGATATTAAATGATGACATGTAAAAATTTGTTTTTGTAATGTCTAGAGTAGTCACTAAAAGAATAGTAAGAATATACAGTTACCAAGGTGTGGGCAGTTGTGGGAATGTGGAATAATCAGTATAAACAAAGGTCAAAAAGTGAGAAAAAGAAATAAACAACAGATGGAATGTAATGAGGCCTTGGTAAGTTGATAGATCTACAAACATACCATAATTATACTAAATGGAAACAGACAAAATGTTCCAAATTATAAGACAGGTTTCGGACTGGATAAGAAGGAAAACACAAAAATGTGCTATTTTCTTTTTGTGAGATATATCTAAAAACTGAATATATAAAAGAGTTAATGGGAAGAGACACGCCATATAAATACTAACCAAAGGCAAGATTGCATAGTATACAAAATCCATTACTTGGAGGAAAGAGGGAAACTTTGTAAGGATGAAAAGGCTCTCTTCATCTTAAAAGATATGCATTGTAAATTTATACAGATTATAAATTTACCAATAAAGAACTTCAAACTAATAGAAAAGTCCATAGGCATAGTGGAGTTGCCACTTTATGCAATATTTGAAGCCGAGCAGTGTGGCAGGCACCTACCTAGCTACTCAGGAAACTGAGGTGGAAGTAAGACCTATCTGTAATAAATAAAGAACAAAACAAGCAGACGAAAAAATCAGTAAAGATAGAGAAATAAGGGTCGGGCGTGGTGCCTCACGCCTGTAATCCCAGCTACTCAGGAGGCTGAGGTAGGAGAATGGCCTGAACCTGGGAGGCGGAGGTTGCAGTGAGCCAAGATCACATCATTGCACTCCAGCATGAGTGACAAAGAACGAAACTCCGTCTCAAAAAAAAAAAAAAAGATTTAATAACATAGCGTAGTGTTTTATGGACATTATGGAACACTGTACCCCAAAATACACATTCTTTACAAGCATACAATAAGATAGTTTTAACTGACCATATGCTAAAGTCTTAAATTTGAAAAGATTGAAAGATACCGTATATTTGGAAATGAAACTTGTGATAACTAAGTGTACTGATGCACAATCCTGGAATTATATCCTAGATTAAAGAACCAAGTTATTTAGAAGACATTATTTAGACAAATGATATAATTAAAAAACATGGTCTATAGGTTAAAGTATTGTAAAAAGATTACAGATTTAACTTTGAAATTATTTAAAAATAATCAGTTAAATACATCTAAATAATCAAGAAGAAATTTCAAGAGATAGTAGAAAACATTTGATATGAATAATAGTGAAGATATCAATCAAGCCTTGAGGTTTTTCTTTTTAATAACTAAAGCCATATTTGGAAGACAATTTATATTATTAAAGGCATTTGTATTATGTAAAGGATAAAGTCAATTCACTAAACATTTATTGCAGTTTAGGAAGAGTAGCAAATTAAACCCAAAGCAAGTGGGTTTTAAAAGAAACATAATAGGCTGGGCGTGGTAGCTCATGCCAGTAATCCCAGCACTTTGGGAGGCCGAGGTGGGTGGATCATGAGGTCAAGAGATCGAGACCATTCTGGTCATGATGAAACCCTGTCTCTACTAAAAATACAAAAATTAGCCGGGTGTGGTGGCATGCGCCTGTAGTCCCAATTACTCAGAAGGCTGAGGTGGAAGAATTGCTTGAACCCATGAGGCAGAGATTGCAGTGAGCTGAGATTACGTCACTGCACTCCATCTGGTGACAGAGCAAGACTCCGTCTCACAAAAAAAAAAGAAACATAATAAAGACAAGAGTAGAAATAGTCAAAGCTAAAGGACTAGAAAAATCAGCAGTTCTCTGTATGAGTGATTGAGAGAGCAGGCCCAAATAACCACTGCCAGGAGTAGGAAGGTGGCATTACTCCATATTTTAAATGCATTTTCAAAGATAAAAAGGATATCTCTAAATAATAAGAAAATATGTACATGATATGGGAAAACTCTTAGAAAATGCAGCTTTTTCCAAAACTTATGCAAAATAAAGTAGAAAATCAGAATAGTCTTTTAATGTTCATTCATAATTTAAAACCTTATCACAAAGAAAATTACACATACAGGCCAGGTGCAGTGGCTGTAATCCCAGCACATTGGGAGGCCAAGGTGGACGTGAGGTTGGGAGTTTGAGACCAGCCTGACCAACAAGGAGAAACTCTATCTGTACTAACAATACAAAAGTAGCCGGGCTGTTGGCACATCCCTGTAATCCCAGCTACCCTGGAGGCTGAGGTAGGAGAATTGCTTGAACCTGGGAGGTGGAGGTTGCGGTAAGCTGAGATTGCATCATTGCACTCCAGCCTGGGCAACAAGAGCGAAACTCCGTCTCAAAAAAAAAAATGGGGGGCGGGGGGGTGGAATTACACATACAAATGACACTGATGAATGCACCACATAGTTAAGGTAACAGTAGTCCCTTTCTTATACAGACTTGTCCAGAGAATGGCAAAAAACTGAATTTATTCCAACTTGTTATATGAAGCCAGCATAACCTTTACACCAAAAACTGACAATGAATAGAAGTAGAAAATTACAGATCAGTCTTATCCACGAAATGAGTGTAAAAATTCCAAGAAGCAGAAAATAAGAAAACAGATGATTTGAGAGGAGGGGAAGACTTGCCTTAAATCTCATAGTATTGTCATTTTGGGACAGTTGTTATCAAACCAATTTGGCCTCATTTTAGGGATACAAAATTCATTTAACATGTCAAAATCATTGATGCTAAAATCTTTCATGTCATGTTAAAAGAATAAAGGAAAAAGTATATGATTATCTCAATAGAATTGGTAGAAACGTTCCATAAAAATGAAAAATACATTCAAGATGCAACATCTTAGCAAACTAGGAATAAAAGGGAATTTCCTAAACCTGATAAAGATTATTTGTGGAAAGTAGAAAACATACTTAATGTTGGAATATTGAAAGTCTTTGCATTGAGATTAGGAACAACATAAGGGTGACCATTTCATGTAACCTTATATCAAATAAGTGTAGTAAAGAAAAAGTTTACTAAGATAAAAAAAACTTGTTGCCTATAAAAGCAGTTGAAATGTTGTTATTAACAGATGTGATTATACACAAAGAAAATGCCAATATAATTATTAACTGAGTATCCCCTTTTTCTAATTCTGGCAACCTTACTTAATTAGATGTAAACATTTAAAAATCACATGTAAAATATGTTAATTTAGAAATATTATATTTTGTGCATTTTATAGAAAAATTTAAATAAAACTCTTTATGTATCTTCTGTATCATTGCCTGTCTGTCTTCCTAGAGCTTCTCTTCAGTCATCAAACATAGTCTGGCAAAGTAAATCATCTTTCCTCACTTTGAAATTGTAAACTTTTTAAAGTGCTCTATCTTATTATACTATTGCTCAAAGTTTTATCTCAAGGCATAACATCAGGAATTTTGCCCTTCACTCCCTGTATTTATTCTGATTTATCTTTGTGTCCCCCAGAACATAACTACCTATTATTTAAAAGTGGTCTTTTAAAACGTTTATTTACAGCAGGCTTACATAATTAAGAAATTATAAATAGTTAATAAATCTGATTATGTATCATTGACTGTTTTTTTGCCAATTCCACCAAGTGAAAGCGAACTCTGTAAGCTTATAAAACTGAATGTTGGATGCATGTGGTTCTCAAGCTTCAAAATATTTACATGTCCATAATCTTTCTTGAGGAATAATTTAAGAGGTGGGGAAAACTTGCCTTATTAGGGATATATTTGGTGTTTTAAAAGATTATTACGTGAATTCTTTTTATTATATTTTTATCAGTCATTTCTTTATTCTTGGACTTTTTCTCATTTTATATTTTTGAGTGAAATAATTTGCTTATTTCTTCAGATATCAATTTATAGAAGAAGCTTTTCAGAATCAGAAAGTGATCATAGATACACTAATCACCAAACTGATGGAAAAAACAAAATACATAAAATTCACAGGAAATCAAATCCAAAACAGGTAATTTTATCATATTATGTAATCATTTTAATATAACTTGTTATTCGCTTTTAGAACAGACCATTTTCCTTAACTCACAGTTAAGTAGTAAATTTTCAGATGACTGCAATAACACGTTCATAAGACTTTCCCAGAAACTTGGTTGGAAAGCATTCTTTTCTGCTGTAAAATTTCAAAACTAATATGATAATAAACTACACTTAGAATTATAATAGCTCATTTATTTAGTAGGTATTGATAACTTGTTATCACTTATTTTCCAATGTTAAAGAAATCCCAAGATTTAAATGCAAAATGGACCATTTTTTGCCAGTAATGTAAATATTCAAACACTTGAATGAACCCTTAATTGTTATTTTAAGGTTTGCTAAAATTTGAGATGCCTTCCTTATGCTGTAATTTTTTTTTTTTTTTTTTAACTGCAAAGTGGTAGAATTTTTAAGACACCAGGAGACAGGGATTGTTAAACTGTTCACACACCTTTTACTCCTTGTCTGATAAAATGCTTAAACAATTCATTGTTATGCCTTTTATCCTGGTAAGGAAATCATCACCTGTCCGAAGTTTCATATCTTAGACATCAATGATTGGGCCATTTAGGGCACATACTGATACTTAATTTACACACCTATGAAATCCCATGACCTACTGTTTTACACACAAAAGTAATGTTGCTGCCTAAAGAAGTCAAGGAATGTTTATTAGAATGTGCTGGAGCAAAAGACCTCACAGAGAATTTAAATGTTCCTTGTATAAATTGTGTCAGCCTTTAAGGAAATCATCATAATCTGTTACTGTCATTTTGGAACATAGCTGGGGGTGGAACATTTGGGAATTTTTTAAAGGTAATTAATTCCCTGTATTACTTGATTTCCTTAAAAGAGATTTTTAAACATAATAATAATAATAATTATTATTATTTGAGATGGAGTTTCACTCTTGTTGCTCAGGCTAGAGTGCAATGGCATGATCTTGGCTCACCGCAACCTCCACCTCCCAGGTTCAAGCAATTCGCCTGCCTCAGCCTCCCGAGTAGCTGGGATTACAGGCATGTGCCACCAGGCCCAGCTAATTTTGTATATTTAGTAGAGATGGGGTTTCTCCATGTTGGTCGGGCTGGTCTTAAACTTCTGATCTCAGGTGATCCATCCACCTCAGCCTCCCAAAGTACTGTGATTGCAGGCGTGAGCCACTGCGCCCGGCTTTTAAACATAGTTTTTACCATTTCTTGATGCCCCAGCATCATTATTATATCTATTTATTATTGTGTTATGTGTCTTTTAGTTTTTCTCATTCTTCCTTATCAGCTCTCATTTGTTTTTACCCCCCCTCTTTTTTTTTTTTTTTTTTTTTGAGAGACAGAGTCTCTCTCTGTCACCCAGGCTGGAGTGCAGTGATGCAGTGTTGGCTCATTACAACCTCTGCCTCCTGGGTTCAAGCAATTAATCTTCCTTAGCCTCCTGGGTAGCTGGGATTACAGGTGCCCACCACCATGCCCAGCTATTTTTTGTATTTTTAGTAGAGATGGGGTTTCACCATGTTGGCGTAACTACTGACCTCAGGTGATAGGCCACCTCTGCCTCCCAAAGCCCTGGGATTACAGACATGAGCCACTATTGCCAGGCCCTGTTTTTACTTTTCTTTTTGACACAACTATAGTTAATGAAATACTATTTCCTTTATTTACCATATTCTAATTAGAATAGTATATTTTCCCAAGTAGAATAATTTGTGGGTTTAACATTTTTTGATTTTGAGTAATTGGAAATTTGTAATGAATAGTCATCAAATGAATGAAGAGAGATAAATGTAGGCATTTCTACCATTTAGTGGCAAAAGGTAGCAATTGTATAATAATTAATTTTAAATTAAAGATCTGCCCTTAATGAAATTTATCCCTTTGACTTTTTTCTTACTCTTTTACTGAGTATATGGTTTGAGTTATGGTCAGTTTGCTTTTTTTTCTTTTTTGTATGTCCATTTCTTCCACTATCATTTTTCGGAAAAGTTATTTTATTTCTCTGTTGAATTGTTTTTCAACACCTTTATAGACCATGTATGTGTGGGATTATTAATCTGCTCCATTGTGTTTTTCTCTTTGCCAGTACTCCACTTCCATGATCTTGATCATTGTAGCTTTTTATAGTAACTTAAAATCAGATAATGTTCTTCAAATTTGTTCTTTTATCTTTTATTTTTGTAAAGTGATTTGTGCTTTTCTTCTTCTACAAAATAATAACATTGTTTAGAACACTTTTGATTTCTGAATTGAGGCAAAAATCAAAGAATCTTTCTTAAGTGCAAATTGCTTATATATCTGTATAGTCTATCTGATTATAAAAGGGTTACATTTTATGCGTTTACCTCCATGGCACTGTTTTTCCCTTATTCATCCTATTCTAGCATCATGAATATTTAAATGAGTTTTTTGAAATTGATTTCTTCACGGGCTCCTCTGGTTCCCTGAATCCTGTAGTAACATTGATATCAAACAGTTGTCTTTTCCAGCAGGAAATAAAGTCTCTGCCATTTTGGTCTTAAGTTTTGGAGGGTAACTATGGGAGAAGCTTACAGAAGAAATGAAGCTTTTAATTTAATCTCACAAAGTTTGGTGGATGCTCTGTTATTTTTGATAAGATATTCTGGTGTGGACCGTATGTTTTTCTTTCTGTAAGAAAAGTATGTAGTTGATGAAACATAGTTATTTGGCTGCTAATCTTTTGAAGAATGGGTTTAAGTAGCAAACTACTATTTTTGTCTTTTTCTATTTAGGTGTATGAATTCTGCAGCAGTTAAGATTACTAAGAAAAGAGTATCACATATACACTTTTCTAGCTTTTGGTTGCAATTAATATAGTAGACCTTGTTCAGAATCATGGTTTATAAATCCTCTTTAGTCCACCTCCACGTCCCCCCCATCCTTTTAGGTAGAGCATTGATTTTCCCAGGTATCACAATAATTTTTCCAAACCATACTTTCTTAAAACGTACTCATTCTTTCTTCTAACTCTATATATTTTTTAAGATTTAACGTTCAAGACTTAATTTTAAGATTGAGTGGTGATATCTTTTAGAAGAATTATATTTCTGCTGTCTCATCTTCAAGACAGTCACCTTAAACTGAAGGACTCAAATAGCAGAGCTTCTAAGGGCTGAAAACATTTTGATCTAATTTAGACATTAAAACATCAATTTAAAATAATATACAAAAAATCTGCCTTATGTTTTTCCCCCTTTTAATTTTCAGAATTATTGAAGTAAATCAAAATCAAAAGCAGGTGGAACAGGATATTAAAGTTGCTATATTTACATTGATGGTAGAAATAAATAAAAAAGGAAAAGCTCTACTGCATCAGTTAGAGGTAAGTGATTGCCTATGGGATAGTATCTTATATTGATTCAACATAGTATTTTCTTGGATAACATTGAAAGGTCAAATTGTGCCCCCCCCAAAAAAAAACACACAAACAAAAAAATAGTATTTCCTAACATACTGTGAATTAGAAATCATAGTGCTTTTTATATAATTATTTCATTTGTGATCTAATAATTTTTTTGCCCACTCCCAAATTTTCCTTTGCTGGGTTTTATATTGTAGCTGACAGTTTATAGCTTAGTAATATGCTATAAATGTCTGATGACTGATAGCACAAATTGTAATGCCTTGCTTATAGGAGGATCTCTGAATATTAAATAGATCTTTACATCACCAAAGGGGTTTAGTGGAACAAAATTTTCTAGACAGATACACTGTTAGATTTAGTTCTCAAATATATATATTTAACCCTGTGAGAAGTTAGGTAAAAGAATATGGCTAGTCCTGCCGTCAACATGTTATAATTCTAATTGCGAAAGCAGCATTTAGAGAGACATGCTCAAGGCACTTAGATGTTTCTCACTGCAGATAAAAAGAAATTACTATCTTCCTCAGCTTTTTAAAACTCACGAAGGTCAAGATCCAAAGTTGGTGTTTGACTTTATATAACATGAGGTTCTAACACCTACATGGTACATTAATGTGTAATATTAATTGTGTGATCTTTAGATATTCCTTTAGTATATTGACATAGAAAGAAAGAATATTGATACAGTAAAGCATTAAAAAAAAGAATCCTAATGCTTGAAAATTTGGGGAAAAATAAGACTTCTAGAAATAATATAGGTTATCCTCTTTATGTCATAGTTGACCAAATTTTAAGGTTTCTGTCAGAAAGTTCTGTCCCTTCTGAGAAAGCGTGATCATTCCTGTGTATTATCATCAGCTATACTGGAAACAAAGACTAATATAATTCTCTGTTGTTTTGGAAACGTAGTTATTTAGTGAGGAAGTATTCTGGGCAGGAAGAATCAGACCCCATTTATAGTGACTATTTGTTCAGTATCTGTGTCTTTAAAAAAATATTAATTCAAGTAGAATTTCAGTTTCCAAAACTGTTTAAAATCAAATATCACTTTGATTTGCTTTCCCAGAGATTAGTACTGCATACATTACTATTTCTGTGTTTTCAAACCTGACGGTACATCAGAATCACTTGAAGAGCTTTACAAAGAAGATTACCAGACTCATGAATCTGTAAGAATGAACCTGGTTCATTCAGGTTAATTCTTAAAATTTTAAAAAAAAATTTTTTGAGACAGGGTCTCACTCTTTTCCAGGTGGAAGTGCTATAACATGAATCACAGCTCACCATGGCCTCTACCTCCTGTGCTCAAGTGATCCTCTCATCTCAGTCTCTCTAGTAAATAGGAGTACAAATGCATGCCACCATGCCTGGCTATTTTTTTTTATTTTAAGAGATACGGTTTTGACACGTTGGCTAAGGCTAGTCTTGAACTCCTGGGCTCAGGCAGTCTGTCCGCCTCTGCCTCCCAAAGTATTGAGATTACAGGTGTGAGCTACCCCACCTCACCTTTTTTTTTTTTTTTTGAGTCAGTGCCTTACTTTGTTGTCCAAGCTTGAATGCAGTAGTGATGTATTCACTGCAGCCTTTACCTCCCTGGTTCAAGTAATCTTCCCACCTCAGCCTCCTAAGTAGCTATGCAACCACACTTAACTAATTTTTTATTTTTATAGAGATGAAGTCTCACTCTAGTGAATTTTCTTATTTTACTTTTTAGAGACAAGGTCTCAGTCTGTCACCCAGGCTCAAGTGCAGTGGTATGGCGTTGGCCCACTGCAGCCTCAAACTCCCAGGAAACTGGGACTACAAGCAATCCTCATGACAGAGCCTCCTGAGAAGCTGGGACTACAAGGCACGTGCCGCTGCTCCTGGCTAATTTTTTTTTTTTTTTTAAGAGATATGGTCTTGCTGTGTTGCCCAGGCTGGTTGGAGTCCCTTTTAAAGGCAAATAAACATAACCCCTTTTATCTGTTAAGACTCGTAAGAAATAGAAATTAGCATAGAAGACCAAAAAACCAGGGCTTCTAATTCTTAATTCTCGAACTTCTCAAAAGTAAATGGAATTTCCATTCCTACTAGAATGTTTCCAGAGAAACACTTAATAAATTTTTACAGAGGTCAAAAATAGTCTAATAGGCAAATTACTGTCTCTAACTTAAATTAGATATGGCAGAGCCATTGGCCGTTGTCAGTACTTCAAATAGACAACTGCAATTTCCCTCTTAATTCAGTGTAGTTCATGTGTATTTTCCAAATCTGGAACTGACTGGGGCCATAATCTGGGTCCACTTTTTATTGAGAATATGTAAGTCCATGTAGTAGTATAGCAATTTTACTTTTTCTTGCTAGGTATAGGATGAGGCTTTTGGATAGGAACCTTTAAAATAACCCAAGTTCGGTGTGCTGTACTTTTGATTATCCTGTCTTCTGTAAGGAAAGTACGTACATAACTCTCCTTAGCGAAATCTATATTCTTTAATGTAGCTTTTCTTAGAGTGCATTGGCACAGTCATTCAGTTCATCTGTTGGCTCCCATGTTAATTCTCAATAGACAGAAATAATATGCTTTTAAAAAAATTACCACATACAGAGGATAAGTGTCATCTACAACACACCATGACCGTGTTTTGCACAAACTACTTGCAATTGCAGCTATTAAGTAGAGTCTCTGAAAGGTTAAATTATATGATTGATTAAATTATATGATCGAGTTACTTTACTAGTTTGCTGGACAGTACATCTTTCTTATTTGTGAGTGTTGAATTTCATAGGCGTTTATTGTATTATAGCTAATCCATCTTTTTTGTGTATTGTAAGATGCTTGAACAGACTTAATTCCCAGAATATTGAAAACCTGATCCAGGGCCTTCAGGAGTGAGGGGTCACATTTGTGGTGCAGCTTTTGCTATAGTGAAAGTGATCCTTTGTAACAAGGAAAACACGAAGAGTATTTTTAGTTGCAATAAATTTAGTACTTAGAGATTGTAGTTATTCTAATTTGTTTACCTGGAAATGACCATTAAAGTGTATGTTATATGCTGATACTAATTTTGAAATTATTGTTTTCAGAGCCTTGCAAAGGACCATCGCATGAAACTTATGCAACAACAACAGGAAGTGGCTGGACTTTCTAAACAATTGGAGCATGTCATGCATTTTTCTAAATGGGCAGTTTCCAGTGGCAGTAGTACAGCATTACTTTATAGCAAACGACTGGTAAGATAAAAGTATGCTATTTAATATACTGTGAAAATGCACAGTAATTGGAATGCTTAAAATTTATTCTGCTTATGCATAAATGCTTTTTACTTATTTCTAATATTTATCAAAATATTTTGGATTAAAAAAATATTTTTACCTGGCATAATTCAGTTTTAATCTTATCATGAATTTCTTTTTTGTTCTTTCCAACTATTCACGTCTTCATAGCAACTGAACTTAATACCAAATATAAGAATGATCGTGAACATTTTCTGATTACCTGTGGTGTCCCAGGTCCTAATTGTAAGCATTTCCCATATAATGTTTAAACTTTTATCTCATTCTTATGAGATACACCTATTTACCCCCCATTCTACAAATTATGAAACTAAGGCATGTGATTATATAACATGCCTAACATCACACAGTAACAGGAGTAGCCAGGGTTTATATGATCTCAGACATGACCTGAGCCTGTGTTCTTGTCGGTGCTACACGGCAGTCTGTCCTGCTGGATATTTTTGCAACAGAAAAATAGCTCTGTGATTTGGTGAACCATTTGACATTGGTCTAGAATCTTGCTACTTAACGTATGATTACCACATCCACATCACTTGAGGATTCCGATCAGAAGGGCTGTGATGGGGCTTGTGAATTTCTAACATACTTGCAGGTGATGCTGATGCTACTTGGTTTGTGGGCTGTGCTTTGAGTAGCAAAGGTATAAAAGATATTTAGTTACATTCTTAAAAATTCCTGCTTTACCTTCATTTTATTACAGATTGAGCAGAGATTTATACTCAGAGAAGTATAGTATAAATTGTAGGGTCAGTTCCAGACTATTGCAATAAAGCAAATATCAATAAGCCAAGCAATACACTTCTTTAAAAGTTTTCCAGTGCATATAAGAGTTTTGACTATAAATACTGTAATCTAATAGTGCAGTATTATGTTTTAAAAAACAATGTATATACTTTGATTAAAGAATACTTTATTGCTAAAAATGTTAATCATCTGAGCCTACAAGAGTCATAATCTTTTTGCTGGTGGAGAAGTTGATGGCCACTGGGGTTGTGGTTGCTGAAGGTTGGGATAGTTGTGGCAATATCTTAAAATAAGATGACAATGAAGTTTGCATTGACTGACTGTTTTCTAATGAAAGATTTCTCCCTAGTATACAATGATAATTTGATAGCATTTTACCTACAAAGATCTTCTTTCAGAATTGGAGTTAGTCCTCTCAAAGCCTGTAGCTGCTGTATCACCTAAGTTTATGGAATATTCTAAATTCTTTATTGTCATCTCAACAATGATCACAGCATTTTCACCAGGAGTAATTTCTATCTCAGGAAACCACTTTTTTGTGCTCATCCATAAGAAGCAACTGTTCATCCATTCAAGTTTGATCATAAGATTACAGCAATTCAGTCAAATCTTCAGGCTCTACTTCTAATTGCAGTTCTCTTGTTTCTACCACATCTGTAGTTCCTTCTCCACTGAAGTCTTGAATTACTCCAGGTCATCCCTAAAGGTTGGAATCAACTTATTCCTAACTCCTGTTAATGTTGATATTTTTATCTTCTCCCATGAATCATTAAGGTTCTTAAAGGCAACTAGAATAATGAATCCTTTCTAGAAGTTTTTTATTTTATTTAGCCCAGATCCATCAGAGGAATCACGATGTATGGCGGCTATTATAGTAGCCTTATGTTTTCTGGGTTTTTTTCTTTTTCTTTTTTTGAGATGCAGTCTCACTCTGTTGCTTAGGTTGGAGTGCAGTGGCATGATCTCAGCTCACTGCAACCTCTAGCTCCCAGGTTCAAGCAATTCTCCTGCCTCAGCCTCCCAATAGCAGGGACTACAGGCATGTGCCACTATGCCCAGCTAAGTTTCCTATTTTTTGTTGAGACGGGTTGCTATGTTTTCCAGACTGGTCTTGAACTGCTGATCTCAAGTGATCCACCTGCCTCAGCCTCCCAAAATGCTGAGATTACAGCATGAGCCACGTAATGTATTTATTAAATAAGACTTGAGGACATGCACCTATAATACCAACACTGAGAAGCCGAGTGTATGTTGTAAGATGCTTGAACAGACTTAACTCCCAGATTATGTAAAACCTGATCCGGGGCCTTCACAGGTAGGAGAATCACTTGAGGCTTGGAGTTCAAGACCACCCTGGGCCACAGGGTAAGACCCTGTTGCTACCAAAAGAAAAAAATAAAGACATAAGAATCAGAATAACTTCTTGATTCATGGGCTGCAGAATGAATGTTGTGTTAGTGGGCATGAAAATAACCTTAATCTCCTTATATATTTCTATGAGAGCTCTTGGGCGACCAGTTATATTTGTCAGTGAGCAGTAATATTTTAAAATCCTTTATTTTCTGAGCAGTGGGTCTCAAAAGTGGGCCTAAAGTATTTACCAAAATATACTGTAAGTAGACATGCTGTCATCCAGGCTTTGTTTTCACTTATAGAACACAAAAGCAGAGTAGATTTAGCATAATTCTTAAGGGCTCTAGGATATTTGGAATGGTCAATGAGCATTGGCTTCAACTTCAGGTCACCAGATGCATTAGTCCCTAATAAGAGTCAGTCTGTCCTTTGAGGATTTGAAGCCATGCATTGTCTTCTCTCTGAAATTTCTAGATGGCATCGTCTTCCAATAGAAGTCTGAGCAATCTACACTGAAAATGGGTTGTTTAGCGTGCCACCTTCATCAATAATCTTAGCTAGGTCTTACAATTAACTTACTGCAGCTTCTACATCAGTACTTGGTGCCTCACCTTGTACTTTTATATTGTGGAAACTGCAGAATGGATGGTTTCTTTCCATAAATCTCATGGACCAACCTCTGCCACCTTAAAACTTTCTTTTGCAGCTTTCTAACGTCTTGCAGCCTTTATTGAATTAAAGAGTTTTAGGACCTGTCTCTGAATTAGATCTTGGGTTACGGGAATGTCATAACTGGTTTTATCCTCTATCAAGACTGTGCAACTTTCTTCCTGTCAGCAATAAGGCTTCTTGGCATTCTCATCATTCATATGTTCACTGGAGTAACACTTTGGATTTCCTTCAAGAATTTTTCCTTTACATTTGCAACTTGGCTAACTAGTGCAAGAGGCCTAGCTTTTAGTCTGTCTCACCTTGAAACTTGCTTTCCTGAGTAAGCTTACTCATTTCTTAAGTTTTGATTAGTGAGAGTCATGCAACTCTTCCTTTCACTTGAACACTTAGCAACTATTGTAGGGTTATTAATTGGCCTAGTTTCAATATTGTTATGTCTGAGACTAAGGAGTCCTGAGGAGAGGAAGAAAGAATAGCTAAATTGGAGCAATCAGGATACACTATTTATCAATTATGTTTGCTCTTACATGGTCGTGGTTTGTGGTGTCCCCAGTCATAGTATTAACATCAAAGACCACAGATCACCATAACAGATTATTGTTAAGAATTACCAAAATGTGACAGAGACAGAAAGTGAGCGTGTGCTGTTGAAAAAATGGTTCTGATTTTCTCAACGTGGTGTTGTCACACACCTTAAATTTGTAAAATTCATGGTAAAATTCATTTATGAAGCACAGTAAAGCAAAGCTCAGTAAAACAAGGTATGCTTGTATTGTTCCCTCCAAATCAAGTTTTCTGTCACCTATTCCAAAAAATCGAAGTCCAGAAATTTTCTATACAATTTTAAAATAAGGAGATGTGATTCTGGATAAACATTGTAAAATAACTTCAAATATTGAATGACATCAGAGTTCTATGACTGTTCTTAATCATGAATTGCATTTAATTCTTAGGATTTGTTTTCCTTTCACAATTATCAGTGATACAGTCTCCATCCAGAGTCTTATTTTTTCATTAGTCTTAATGAAAACATCTGTGTACTATATACCTTCTGTTCTCTGTTACCTACATTTTTCTGAAAGTCAAATAGAAAAGGGATAGAGGGAATAGAGAATTGAATTTTTCAACTTAACCCATCATGAATATTCTTATGTGTATGTTATACAGATTATTCACACAATCAGATGAGCATTCTGTCAATCTCCTTATCAATTAAAAAAAATTTTTTTTCATTCTGTGCTGAGTTTGTTTGATTGCATTATGGAAAAAATAAAAATTGGAGATAGGATAAATTAATTTACACAATGATCTGTTGAAATAGGAATGAAAGAGATAGTCATCTATATGATACATAGAAAATAGGAACAGTGAATCATATAGTACCAGTATTAACCATATTCTTGGTTAACTAAACTTTAAAAATCCTGTGGAACCCAAGTGAGCATTGATGCATTTCTGTAGCAGCTGTAGATAATAAAGTAATTTGCCTGTAATGCATGCAGAGCTGAGGTTCCTGATTATTTTTAAACATTTAGAAGGATTTTCTAACTTCAGAAAAAGTGAAAATCATTATTTTGTATAATTTTGTTCTTCAGAGTTCTGCTTTATAAATATAGCCTTGTTTACTCAGGTTATCCTTTAAATGATGGATTTTATATGCTTTAAAAAAATAAAATGAAATGCCTTCAGGCCTGAAACCTCAAGCTTGGCTTGCTATTTTTAAAAATTTATTTATATTTTATTATATATTTAAAGTATACAACATGATATCCATCACCCTACATAGTTACCTTGTATCTGTGTGTATGGTAAGAACACCTAAAATCTATAACAAATTTTTGATATACATTACAATATTATTATGAAAGTTTTTGTTGTTGTTGTTCTTTTGTTTTTGTTTTTTCCTGAGACAGGGTCTCTGTCTATACAGGCTAGGGTGCACTGGCATGATTGTAGCTCACTGCAGCCTCAAACTCCTAGGCTCAAGCGAGCCTTTTGCCTCAGTCCCCCAGGTAGATGGGACTACACATGCATGCCACCATGCCTAGATTTTTTTTTTTTTTTTTTTTTTTTTTATAAAGACAAGGTCTTGCTCTGTCACCCCACTTGATCTGGAACTCCAGGTGTGAGCCACCACATCTGGTTGGCCTTACAAGGTTATTAAC